CACTTGGGATTATCAGACATAGGCTTTCCTAATTCGGTGGAAAATTCCTTCTTATCAACATTCAACTGAACGAGATAAGGCGAAACAGAATTAGGATGTGAAAAGTTAAGCGTAAATAAAAGTCTGAACCTTGATCGTGTGGATGATGCAGATAACGCGCTTGAATGTTCGTCGTGACCTGGATGCTGAGTGTCTGAAAGTATTTTGAAAATAAAATCTTCAACNCAACCATAAGCTCTCATTAAATTCGATTGAGTGATCTCATGGCCACGCATGATGTCCCTAATAAAGATAAGTGTTATTCTCAACCCCTTAGAAGAAAACAAACATTGTACAATGACATTGATGCCACTGACCGGGAAGGACGATGCCTACTCCTTGGAATCCGTGTCTGCCCAGTTCAGAAGATAGTCTACCACCTTCGTTTATGGTAACTGCGCAACCTTATTTTGCTATCAGCGTACCTGGTATCGTTTCCCATGATTGATTTCAATGATCGGTAAAGCTGCATGCGTCTATCGAACGACCCATTAGAAACGTTGTACACTCGGACATCACCGCAGGAAGAGAACAGGTGAGTAAAGAGCAGCGTGACTTGTTCTACTCATCATACCAATTGCCGCTGGTGCCACCAATCAAAGTTCTCTATAGTTCTTTAACCGTACGTTTGAATAGTTACGCACATCAAGCTTTAATTTAACGTTCAATTACCACGTTGTGAATGAACACAAATGTACAAGTATGCCTGTATCGATTGCCGTTGAAGGTAAATCGAGCGTCGATTGACCGTTTTACAAATAACGGCTCAACCTTTTGTGATTCCTACGAGGAATTAAATACTTATATTGCGTAAACGCGAAAATCAGATGCCTTTTAGAAAACCCAAGTATATTACAACTAAAAAAGAGATCAATTGTGAGGAAAATGGAAAATAAGGGCTACAAGATACCAACATGACGGATCAATGCAATATACCTCATCCTCTTGACATTACCTGAAGTCCTGTGTGAATCATTCAAACGAGAAGCATCGTATAATGTGATCAGTGTGTTGATGAAAGCGAACTTCAAAAAGGACGCGAACATTGTAAGCTATAGGGGGATTGGATTTACCGGACTAAAACGAGACATCACCTCAGAGTTCAATTTGTGTACCCGTTCTCCCTTCAACCCCGTGATTCGGTTTTGATTGATGTTATTCGACAACCCACTTACCCGAACATTTAGGAGAGAGAGAGATGAAACAGAAAACTCAGATTACCGCTGAAGCAAGACTGGAAAAGTGAATAAAAACTAGGTGTGCATGGAACCGGTGTAGATACGCGACTGCCGATAATTACAACAATCATTCGAATCACGCCGTCTCCATTCACGGGTCGAGTTGATTCCTCGTTTTCAAACCGTAAAGCCTGCGCAAACAAATTCGACAAAGAGGTAGCAAAGAAGCATGCTGTCGGTGATTTAGTCGATTGACCCATTATGT